CTGTAACAGATGTGGTCTCCTATGATGCATGAAAGAACCTAAGAGTTTCAGGTTTAAAAGAACCAAGCCAGCACCTGAGCACTCATCCAGCTTCCCATACACAGAGAAGAAATTCTGGATTCCTTTTCAGCCATGTCAATCTGCATAAAGCTTCACCTACTTAAACTAATGACAACAAGTACACAGGCTTCATCTCGGAATCCATTAAGGTTCAAGAATTGCACAGCCAACTCTTGATGAGATCAGGTGAACTGCTGGCTGATCGTCTGGCAAGAAGTCTGCCGGGATTTACAGCTCAGCAAACAGGAAGAGGGGAGAGAGCACTGTCCACCAGCAGAGGAGAACTCATCTCATGCTACCTGGCCTGATATTCTGTTCACATTTCCGCTGTCTCCAGAGAGCAAGGTGCATCTATTTGATAAACATGGAAACACAAGTGGGGAGGGACTGCAGAAACAACAAGCCAATGGTATAGAAGAGTAGCTCTCAGTGGACCGCTACCTCCACGAGAGGCCTTTGGGCAAGGCTAGGAAATGCCCTTTCAGATGTCGGTACTTTCACAACGTAATGGCTGCAAGTTGCCACCTCCCTCTCGGTTAATGCCTGCCACTTACCAGATGCTGACAGCACACAGGCTTGAGCCTGCCAACCAATGGTCTGGACACCCAGTTGTAAAGTCAAGGTCAGCTGGCAGGAGGTAATCACCATCTTTTGGGCAGCAGATGACCTTTCAAAACCACCACCTTCCCTGATAGAGTAGTATCCTAAACCCTCACTTGTAAGGGTTGGGATATTTGTATGAGTAGTGGTATCTTCAATAGGCAAATCCTTAAACTTGTTTAAAAATTGCCCTGCACAGGTACTCCAGAATGAATGTATATCTGAAATGTCTATACAGGTGACATCTTCTAGCTAGCAAGTCAGGTCTTTCTGCAAACTTCAAACTCTATTACTAAAACAAAACAAAAATCTGATGGTCCAGAGAATATGAACTAAGCACCCTAGTAAACTCAGCACCTTGAACCAAAGCTAAGTATAATGTTCAGAACAGCTTCAGGGGTCATTTTATATTACCAGGCCCAAGCATTTGTCACTTCATGTTGGAACTGGGAAGTCAGTTAAAATGATATTCTATTGATTCTATGCCTCATAAACTATAATTTTAAGATAGTTTATATAAGAGTTCAGAAATCCAGTAAAATTTATACTCTATTTAAAATTTTTATTAGTCTGTGTAAAAGCATCACTGCTTATCAGAAAAATGATAAGGTTCTATCACAGGTAAGCTCACCCCTAAAACAAGCAAAGTTATTTAAAATGTCATGTAGCAAAAAGGAGGCACTGGTTGCGCACGGCCCATGTGAACAGTATTTGCACTATCTCAATCACTGTTGACTTTTCAGAGCTGAAACCCTTTGTACTGCATGACAGAGATCTTCCAAACACTAATTCACAAGCACGCGCACTAAAGAGAAAAATGGAGGTGAGGGAAGCGCTGGCAAAATACTTCAGTGGATAAAGGCACTTGTCATGCAGGCACCTTGAGTTTGATCTCTGGACCCATGTAAAGGTAGAAGGAAAGCATGGGCTCCACAAATTTGCCCTCTACACATGCACACACACATATACACAATAAAACTACACAAGATTTTAAAGACTTGAGAATCAGGCTTCTGAAAATGACGTAAGTTTTCCCCTTATGACTTGTATTGAGTAGAAAAATTCCAAAGGTCAGTCTTTGTAATGTTCCTAGGCTGATGAGAGCAGTAACACTTTGTTCTAAGCTGCATCTGCTGCCAGTCCTTAATGGCTGCATCTCAGCTACTACAGGCACATACTCCTCCCAATCAGCACACCACAACCTGGATGAGAACACAAGCTGAGGGAAGTGGCTCCTCTCTCTTCTGAAAATGCTGATGACAAAGGATCTGATAACATCTGAATATCAATATTCTTCCTCCCAAGCCAAGGAACTGTGCTTCCAGGCCCCACCCTTATTAGAAGTCACCGGCTTCCCACAGGGTGTCACCTACAGAGGACTCTAACCATCCAATCTCATCTGCCTCGGTGGACTAACACAGCATCTGAACTAACTTACACATATGGCCTGATAGGCTTGTCACCAATCACACTGCACAGGGAAACAGGAAATTGCTTTCTGCAAATGCTACCAAGGCTTTCTGGCCTGGCCCCACCCAGAGAGGAGAATCTTCCTGGCTACAAAAGACTCTCACTCAAGTGGTGATCTCAAAACCCATCTCTGGAAGTGAGGACTCCAAAGAATCTGTCACTGGGATACAGTGACACCAATCTCACATTTTGTGGTTAATAAAACAAGTCCTGCATCCAGTTTGGCACGAGGCCCTGATCTGACTTATTTTAAGCCAAGCTCATAGGAAAAACTACCATTCATGAATGTTTGAGGAGGACAGTTCAGCCGGGTCTTTTGTGCAAAACTGGCATGGACAGAAACCTTTCTGAGCAAACCTAGCGTATTTCCTAAAGAGATTTGGTGCATTTTGCTCTTAAAAGGAACAAAAGTCAATCACAAAAATCTGTTTTGATACGCAGTTTTCACAGAAAAGGTGCTCGTGGGGGTGAGGAAAAGGAGAAATGCAGGAAATGAGAAAAATGATCTGATTTCTGATTTAAATCAATCAAACAGCAGACACTCCACTCCCCCCCACCCCCAAATGCAACCCAGTATAAGACACGCAGGACTTTCCTCAGAAAGTCTACAGTCTCCCTTTAAGATTTCGTGCCGGAGGACTTAATGAGGAATTTCCATTCTAAAGTGGCACACAGATCTCCTCAGAGAGCTCAGCTTTCTTTGAATAAAAAAGGCAAGTTACCCTTTAGGGGACTCAGCACATATTTTTAAACTTCTTATTAAATCAACCTAATTTATGGGACATGTTCAAGAAAAGCAGGTAGCAATCTGCTTAGGTGGATGCAAAGTTACTTTGCCATCCTTCCCACCTCCCCACCACCACCTCGTTTGCCCTCCCTTCTCCGAGGGTTTCCGAATGTCTTCGGGGCCCCTCCGAAGCCGAAGCCACTCGGCCCTCTCCGTCTGGACCCCGACTGGGTTCCGAACACTGTCGAGATCCTCCGAGCCCCGCGCCCAGACCAGGCCGAGCGGAGCCGAGCGCCGCCGAGCTCAACCCCATCGACTTTTCCAGCCTCGGCTGGGCGCTGTCCACCACTTGCAACGCCTGAAACCTCACCCCAGCTCTGGAGGCCGAGGCTTCTACCAGACTGCCACAGCGGATTACAGACTCGTGAAGTTTTGAGACTTGCCCCTAAGGAGAAAGAGGTGGCGCGGTTTGCCATTTCCCCGACCCGCGTGTGCTCCAGGCAGATGCAACATGCACCTTGTTGCAAAAAGCAATTCCCCAGGCCCCGCCTCCCCATCCATTTGGACTGCACAAGCCCCAGAGAAACCCCAGGCCAAATTACTGGTGGCTCAGAAGGGTGAGGCTAGCCGAAGGGGCCTGTGAGAAGAAAGCCCCTGGGAGCTCTCGAACGCAAATAAGAACATGCCAAGCAGATGGGGAAAACTGTCTCCTAGTCGCTACTCCCTACCATCATGGCGCCGCCTGGAACTCGCTTGTCATGCCTGTTACACATGCAAGAATTTTTGCTTCTTGGTTTTGAAACCGCAAGCACAATTTGCCTCCCACCCACCTTCCCTCAAAAGGGGTTTTTATTTTCCATTGTTTTCCTACGGGATGCAATTACTTCGACTATTCTGTCAAGTTGAAAAATAATCATTTTTGTTTACTGCACAGCAACCTCTAATTAGGAGCTGTGTGTGCACGAAGGTGTCACAGCAAAGCGACATGGAATCCTCGCTAAACGATCCTAACGAACTCCTCCGTCCTGGACTGACAGGCCAACGGAAGCAGGGCCAGGAGGTCCGGAAGGCATGCGCCCGTTCCCTGCCGGCCACCCCTCCTCTGGCAAAGCTGCGTGTAGGCTTACTAGGAGCTGTGAAGTGGATGGGGCAAGAAGCAAGCCAGTGAGAGGGAAGGAGGGGTGAGGCTCCTTACTGGGGAAATGTGGAAAGGAAGGAATATCCCATTTTGTTTTAATTTTCAACCATCACTCAAATCCACCTCCAGTCAATTAGGAGGGGAAACTGATATCTAAGGCAGAAGGGGGCGTTGGCAAGTGGGGCCTGAAATCCGCATTAAAGATAGACTACAGGGAGCCCGGCCTAAGCAGAGTGTAAATAAATATAACGACAAACGACAAAGGCTACACGGTGACAGGAAACTGCTGGTGTCGGGAGAGCAAAGGCTGGAAGGCCAGGGCGCAGAGGGGTTGGAGGGCAGGTAAGGCTTGCTTTCATTCAGCCCCACAGACAGTGTCCCCCATCCACCTCTGCCTTGGATAAAGCTGTGTCTGTCACATCCGCTTGGAAACCCACCCTTTCCCTAGTGCACGCCCCCTCCCCTAACCCTTGCTCTCATTTGGGGGGAAGGGGCCGAAGTCACAGCCTCCAGGAATTCAGCACCAAACTCATGAACAGCAAACACTTGCTCTTCTACCCCAATCTGCTAGGGCTGGGCCCCCTCCATGTTTTAGTCAAGTTCAAAATCACTGCCCCAAGATAAGTGGGATTCGAGGGGTTGGGTGGAGGGAGGAGTAATGGAAGGAGGCCGAGACAGAAATGGAGGCAGCGAAACACACGAAATACTCCACGAGCAAGAGTTATGATCATAATCACGCCAATAGTGTGATGTTCTGATCAATATGGCGGACACTGTCATTCATACAACTACAGGCGCTCCCTTTCCCTCCCCCAAACACCCACTCCAGGAGTTGGGGTGGGGGACCCAGAACCAACGTAGGGAGTGGGGGAGGGGAGGCAAAACCAGGTCTCTGTGTGCACGAATTAAAAACCAGGCCTGGAGAGCAATGTGGACGAGCAAGACAATAAAAACGGTATGAAAATTATTAATAAAAGTACAAATCCCAATGCCAGAGGGACTTACTTCATTTGCTTCACAATGGTGCTTTTTCCTGATTCTCCAGCCCCTGTTGGGACACAGAGAGGGGGGAAAACTGGTGAGTGTCAGCTCAGAGGAATGGGAAGGGGCTTCAAAGCATGCGAGGGGTGGGCGCTTCTGGGCACACAGTGGTGCCAACTCCGGGACCAGGTCTCCCGTGGCGCAAGTCGGGTGGGGAAACAGCGGCCGGGGTCGAGGAGCGGGGGTGGCTACCGAGGTCCTTACCCAGCAGGAGTAATTTCACGTCTTTGGCGGCGCTGATGCCATCTTCTTTGAGGTTTTTCTCAATCGCCTTGCTCCGCTCGAGGGCGGCTCTCTCCTCTGCGCTCAGAGTACATCCCATGGTGGCCCCTTCCCTGCCACAGCCCGCACGACTCGGCTGGCACGACTCCCCGGGTCGGCGCGCCCCCCACCCCCCCAAAGAGCAGAGCCTGGGCTCAAAGGGGAGAAAATCACGATATCCTCTCCTTGGCTGGGAACAAAATTGTCGAAAGACCAAAACCCCCCAAAAAAGACAGCCTCTATCAAGATTCCAGCGAAGACGAGCGGCAGCTGGTGGAGTCTGGGGGTGTCGAGGTGAGGGTGGCCGGGGTCTGGGGCTCCGGAGCCGAGGGAGGAGGAGCCCGCGGGCCCGGGAGGCGCGGGCTGCAGGCACTGAGGCTAGTGCACGACCCAAAATAAATAAAATAGGAGTCGAGGCTGGATCCGCAGCCGGAGCCGGCGGAGGGTGGGGTGGGGGGCAGGGTGGGTCCTTCTGCCGCGGCTGCCGGAGGCGGAGGAGGAGGCGGAGGCGGAGAAGGTGGAGGCGGCGGCGGCGCGGGGTGTGGAGGGAGTGAGTTAGGGGGTGCCGCTAGTGCATGTGCACCGCCGCTCCTCGGCCGTCGGTGCGTCCGCGGCGCCTTCTCCGACCCCCGCGCGCGGGGCAAGGCTGGGAAGAGGGTCGGGCCGGGGTGGGGGCAGATCTCTAGCGGGAGGCGGCGTCGCCGGGGCCCAGAGCTCGCATCACTTGGCGGAGAGCGGCCAGGAGACGGGGAGAGCGCGAGGGAGCCGCGGCCAGCGGGGAGCGCGAGAAGAGGCGGGCAGGGAGGGCAGGGCACGCGCGCGCGCGCCGGGGCGGGCGGGCGGGGAGGGGGCGAGGCGAGCGCCGCGCGCGAGTGCGCCAGGTCCTGCGCAGCGCTCCGCCAGCCGCCCGCTGACGTCAGCAGGGCCGCGCGCCGGGCCCGGGGGACGGCGCGGGCGGGGGCGGGGCGCATGCCCGCGGGCCGCGTCACCTAGCGGGCGCGCGCGCGAGGCGCGGCCGGCTCTCAGGTCCCCTTCCCCCCTCCCCCCCGCGCCTCGGGGTGCGTGCGGGGCTGGGGAGGGCGGGGCCTGGGGCCGGGCGCGCGCTTGCGCCCCACCCCGCCCCACCCCGGCCGGTCTCGAGCGCCGCCGGACCCGCCTTCTGTCAAGCGGAGCGCGGCGGTCAGGTGGCCCCCAGCCCGCCGCCCGTGCCTCCTGCTTCCCGGTTTCCCGGGCTCTGGCTTGGTGTCACCGGCAGCTCGCCTTTCCAATTATTCTCCTACGGCCGGAGACGTAGCCCCTAGCCGAGCTCTAGTACCTCAGCAGACGTGAGGAGGTAGCGAGTCAGAATAAACCTGCGCAGGCCAGAATACAAGGCTGGGCCCCAGGGACGGCCTCGGGCCCGCATTTATTGAGCATCTAGTGTACAGAGGCGGGGCTCGTGGAGAGGAACGCAGCAGGCTGAGAAGAGGCACGGCCTGCTCCGCAGGAGTTTTTGCCTTCCTGGGCCAACGTGAGCCTTACTGTGAGATTCCCACCCTCGCTGTGGATGCTAGAGATGGTTACCATCCTAGGATGGCTTGATGCCAAAGGCCCAGGGACAGTCGTTCATGAAAGCCTCTAGCAAATGTTTGTTTCCTTAAAATTTTCTCTCTAGCATGGCCGGTTTTGCTTGGTTCTTGTATTCTTGTATTCCCAGAAAGAACATAAACTGATAAAGTGAATTCTTCATAGGTTTTTGATGAGAGGAGAGGGGTCTTCCTCTTTTGTCTTAAAGTAACAAACTACAAGAAGAAACATACCCATGGCCATGTTGTCTCAAAGACTCAGAAACCAGAGCTAACCCAACACTGGGGAGAGCAGTAGACAGTTGCCAAAGATTGGTCATGTTCTGGGTGGTCTTGGAGAGACTGAAGACATTCACTCTTACTGCACAAGATTGTTTTACAATCAGTTCCACCAGGCAGCCCCAGGGGCCTTCCTAGAGGAGCCAACAGGCAAGGCTGCCCAAGGAAAAGACAGGCAAGTGGCCAGTGGAAAACATGCCCCCACCCTGTCCCCCATGCTGGGCATTTCTGAGACTCTGAAAGTAAACTTGTTTGCTTCATTTCAACAATGGGGGAAAAAAACAACTCCTGTTTTGAAAATGTCACCCAGAATAAAAATACATTTGCAATGGGGGGAAGAAAAGGCAATTAAGGCCCACCCAGAAAAAATATTTTTCTACTGCATTTTTTAAGTTTGGTGTCTCCCACTGTGGGGTTGCCTCATTCTACAAATGGCGGTCAAAAGTTATACTCAATACAGTAGATAAGTAATCCCCCATCTCCTTTCCTGTTTATGCTGGGTGGTGTTAGTATTAAAGGATGAATCTGATTTGACTTAAAATCAAGTCTCACTAAAATCATCTTTGCAGATCCCAAACAGATCTTGCTTCTTCAGAGGTTGCTGGAGTAGTTGTGAAGATCTACCATGAACCAGATGCAGGGCAAGTTTCAGTCTCACTAAGGGTCTGCCATTTCTACAAGACTGCATTTGAAGGATGGAAGGTAAAGACATAACTGTCTCATTGTGTGCTTGGGGTGAGGGTGGAGCATGGCTTTACTCTATTAAATGTATTTAGTGTTCTTTCATGCCAGGTAACTTACAAGTGAAAACCGTACGCTCTTGGGGGCATTCTGGTTGTGTGTGAAGCCCTATCCCTGACTCTAAGTGCATGTCTCTCTACTTGCTTTCTGTCCTTATGTGGCAGAGGCACGAGCCAGTGCTTGGAGTTTTTCTTCACTCCCTCAGTACTTATTAAGAACCCACCGACTGCGTATGAAGGCTGTGTTCCAACACTGTAGATGTATTTCAGATTGGCCTACCCTGTTTTCTTTTTTTCTGGGTCACTTTGCGTCTTTATGGCTGTGTTTCATAAAAGACTAATAATAATCCACTTCATCTGTATAGTGCTTTACAGCTTACGGAGCACTTTCACGAAAATGATCCCATGTGATCCTCCCACATAAACCTCAGTTAGGACTAGTGTGGGAAGCGTCATGGATGAGCGGCAAGAGCCTAGGCCAGGAAGACAGATTGATAAGAGAAACATTCCGAGATGTCCTACATTTAATTACAAAGGGCCACGGGATGAAAGAAAAGAGAGATGGTAGGGGAGATTAAACCAGTAGCAAGCGATGGGCCCCAGAGCACAAAAGACCGTTTTTATGTTCTTGAATGCACTTTAAAACCTTCACGGAAGCCTGCCCTGACTGCCTAGGTGCCAATGTATCCTTCTCGCAGCCCCAGCCAATCAAGAGGCCCTGGCTTCTTTCCTAGTTGTTCTCCCATGGCAAAACCTTTTCTGTTTCAGGGAATCCCACCCTTGTTACCAGTACCCAATGTAGACCCAATGTAAATAATATGTATGTAGCAATGTTTGCTTTGTAAAGTACTCTGACATTTTGGAGCTGGGGGATTAACGTTATAGCCCGGATGGTGGTGGTTGTAGAATCTGTCCCAGCACCTACTCATCTATTTTTCTGCTAGAGTCAGTAATGGCTCAATAAGCCCTTTTATTTCAGAGAGTTCTTACAAGGTCTTGGGCGTTTTGGTTTAATAAGATACAACTGGCTACCCATTTTACAGATGAACAAGCTGAGCCCCCACTCGGTGGCTTGAGTAAATTGTTCATGGTCAGCAAACTCATTAACAAGTCCACGAATCTTTGCAGTTTTCTGAACTGTTGAAAGCAGCATGCTGTATCCACATGTAAATCATGCTCAGATCAGAAAGCCGAAATCTCAAACCCAGGCATATGTTGATTCCCCCAAAGGAAGAAAGGATGAGAATATCTCAGTTTTCTGTGAAATATAAGTAATAAAAATTCCAGCTATATTAAATTGGTCCACAATTAATTCCTGTGGGAATGAGGAAATTATAGTTCTAATATTAAAAGCTAGGATTCCTAGACCACAGACAGAATCTCTTTGGTTTTATTTCATATGATTCTCAGAATTATATTTTTCTGATGATTTTTTTAATCAGAAAAGAGTTCTCACCCCTTAGTCAAATGTTTATCATACTACACTACACAGACATTACATGTCATATTTTTAACCCTAAAGGTACTTTGAATATCTTGCATACTCCATGGAAGTAATATCTGCAAAGTCTTCTACTTCTAGAGAATAGGGATTCATGACTTGAAGAAGATCCCAGCTCTCATCCAGCATGGGCTTTAGGTAGGTGATCTCAATTTTCCTCTTTCTTTTTCTATGTCTCTAAAAGATAATCCCTCAACTGATTTTTTTCCGATATATTTTGTGCATGTCTCTCAGATCACCAGTGCTGTGGTTCTCAAGCATTATTATCTATAGAACTACCTGAGATGCTTTATATTTATATTTAAAGTTTAGATCCTGTAGTTCCATTTCTGAAATCCCTATCTCAGTAAGGCTGAGGTGGTGCCGAGGGATCACTTTTAGAATGATTTTTTTAGAATGATTTAGATTTCTCCCTCAAGTGATTCCTAATATTCTTTGGAATGTAAGCTCCTTGAAGAAAAGGGTTTCCTTTGTGTCCCAAAAGGTCAAGAATGGCCCCTGTCCGGTTGTCATTGTATTTTTTTAACTAAAGTCACCTAAGGAGGAGCAAGAGCTTAATCAAGTAATATATATATATATATATATATAAAACCTCTTCCTATCTCTGCCATTTGGGCTTTTTTCCTAAGACAAATTTTTCACTTGATTATTCTACAAAATATTTAAGATTCAGTGAGTTCAAGAAGATAATGTCATCAAGTAAAGTTCTATGACAGAATGATACTGATTTTGAACCAACAAATGGGAGACTTATTGGCCAACAGGCATTTATGAGAAGAGAATATACCCAATGTTTTTGACATCCCAACCAGGAAAAAATACTTTGGCTAACTTTTGTGTCTCACTTTATTATTTTGGAGGGTTCATGAAAAATTAGTTTTCCTATGTAAAATTGTTAAGTGCAAGAGATGAGATGAAAAAAAAAAGAGATGAGATGACTCAGGAAGAAATAAGATTTTTGTATACTTTTAAGAGAAAGGACTTGCCTGAAGAAGCATATAAATGTTTGCATGTCACTGAATTGAACTCTTAAGTTATAAAAATCCATTATATGGTTGGAGTTGTTAACATTATTTGTTGAATATACTTTGATGGCTCAGGTACTGTAGGCCCATATTTCTATATGGTGTGGCAGCCAGGCTCTGAAGCCATAGGCCCCACCTGAGGTGGTCATGTAGCCCTGCAGACAGGCTGTCACTGCCCTAACAAAGGGTCAGGTTGTTGTTGTTCCTTTCTTTGTAATTTAGAGGATGCCTTATAGAGATGCTGATTCAAGCCTAGTGACAGCAGACAGGTAGAGGCGGATGTGACAAAATGCCATTCACCTGGTTACCTAGGAGACAGAATGCTGGTGCATTTCCCACTCAGTTTATGTTTAAGCTGTTTGGAGAATAAATGAGAGGAATTCCTCAGGATCTGAACTCAGGACTTCATGAGGGACCACTGAGAATCTCTCTCCCAATAAAGCCATGTGAGTTGTGTCTTATTCCCTCGCCTCCACGCTGGTCCAGAGAGAGTTTATAATGGGGTCTGGTCAAGAGAAATAATTGAGGGTCTGGGCTAGCAATGGACTCTGACAAGGTACCCCCAAAGAGAATATGCTTTGTGATTTTAAATTTTTAATTATTTGTCAATTAGGATAGCAAAGGAACCCCACAGGGATGCCTTTAGAGTGTTGGAAGGGGCAAGGACTAGAGCTTTCTTACAAGATTGACCAAGAGCTGAACTTGACATTGAAGTTTGTCCTAATATGAGGGCATTACCTAATAGTCATGGTTTTGTGTTGGAAGTTTCTTGGGAAATCTTTTGTCAGAAGCTTAGATTTTTATTTGTTATGATGGAAATAACAACAAAAATTCTTCAACCTATCTTGGCTGGGTTGACAGAATGAATTTTCACATACACATTTGCAAGTAGTTTATGTAAAACTTACTCTGTTCTTCAGAAGACAGGGGATCTCTAAACACAGAGGTTTCTTGCATCCTCATATCTCCTGTCTCCATAGAGCCTTTTGCACATGCGCAACTCAAACACATTTTACACATTAGCTCATTAGTCTTCTGTAACCTTCAAAAATCAAAGCCTTATTCATCATCACAATGTTTTTTTTTTGCAAGTAGAATTTTTTAAACTAAATTTTCCTTCTTTTTTCTAATTTCTAAAGTTATTTTATGTGTTTAAATGTTTTGCCTGTATGTATATATAGGGACCATGCATGTTCCTGCTGCCCACCAAAGTCAAAAGAGTTGCATCAGATTCCCCTGGAACTGGAGTTGCAGATGGTTGTGAGCCACCATGTGGGTGCTGGGAGGTGATCCAAGGTCCTCTGCAGGGGCAGTAAGTGCTTGTAACCACTGAGCCAGCTCTCCAGCCCAAGTAGAACTGTCTTTGTTCCTCCAAAAAGGTGGATTTTTATCTGACCAGTGTGCCTGATCTGTACTGGAGGGGGTAGAGGCTGCCAATTAGCTGAGACTTTCTAAGTGAATTGAAGGTGATTGTCTAGACTGAGCATTTTGAATTTTGTTTGGGTGCTTCAAAGCATGTGTGCTCTGGAGTGTTCTATAGGTCTGCCAGGTACTAAGGACAAGCGTTCCATTGAGGCAGTGTGGCTTCTTAGTTTATATGTAGGCATGTATCTCTTCCTCCAAAGGCCTACAAAATCCTGGTCTGTATGACAGAGAAGAACATTTTAATGAAATTCCTGTGTGTATGATGAAAAACAGATATAAGACTGGCAGAGGACAATTCAGATCAACACAACTGTAAACAGATCCCCTATCCTCAAGGCATTTGGCTGTTATAATTTAGAACTTGAAGTAAAAGGAATTTTCACTGACCTTCTTAAGCTGTCATTTAGTCTGCCAACTTTCTCCCTGGTTACTCTAGACTCTGGAGAGGGATAAGAGCAGAAAGAACTCTGGTCTAGTCACATATAATACAAATGAAAGACAGTGCTGGTTTTTAATGACCAAAGAGAAGACATATATAAATCTTTTTGTTTTTAATGTTTTTGTTGTTGTTTTTATTTGTTTATTTTTGGAGACAGGGTTTCTCTGTGTAGCCCTGGCTGTCCCAGAACTTGCTCTGTAGACCAGTTTGGCCTCAAATTCAGAGATCCATCTGCCTCTGCCTCCCAAATACTGGGATTAAAGGCGTGTGCCACCACCACCCGGCTATATATACAAGTCTTAATCAAAGCATGTGATATGATGGCTTAATGATGATTCTGAAATTGATGGGGTCAATGTGCAATGACATGCTTTTAAAAATTCAGTAGTAGGAGAGATGGGAATGATTGGACTAGAACTAAAAGGGACAGAGTTAGGGACTGGCCAACAACCAATCTTTCTTTGCTTATATTATCTCTGCCTCTTTTTGAGAATGGAGAGATGCCAATCATTTTTAGTCAGAAGTGGGGACGTTTGTGCCCGCATCTGGTCTACTTATATACTTGACTTTATTCCTTCATAAATATTTCCCTTATAATCATCTTCATTTTTTAAATCATGAATTCATTTAATGTTTATGGGTTGCTTACCATATGTCAGGCAATGTTAGATGCCAGAGATAAAACACATATAGTTTTTTGTCATCCTGGTACATATAGTCTCTGACTTTTGAACTGAATTCTGTTTTTCAGAGTTTTCATTTTATGCACAATGAAGTTAAGACCAGAGAAGTTCAAGTGGTTTAGCCCAGATCACCCAGCTTATCCTTTACATGGTTGGGCTATACACCCTTTTTTTTTTTTTTTTTTTTTTTTTTTTTTTTTTTTTTTTTTTTTTTTTTTTTTTTTTTTTTGCACTCCAGGACAATAGAGTTTCTGCAGTATTTGGTACTAATTTAGATGTAATTTTGAAATATTTTTTAGGCAATGTTTTGCTCTCTCGCTCAGGCTGCCCTTGAACTTCCTATCCTTCTGTCTCTACCTCTCGAGCACTGAGATTACTGGCAAGTGACACCATGCCCGGTTTCTAAGTTAGTTTTCTGAGTAGAACTAAGGCTGATGATTTTCGTGAGTTATTATTCAGCAGTCTTCTCCTCCCTTTGTCAGATGTTATTGAGCATCATGAATGAACAAACATCTTTTGTCGTTTAGTTTATGAGACAGGTTGACCTCATATTCCAGACCGTCCTGCATCCACCTGTCTAGCTGAGATTTTAGACTAGAGCCACCATGCCCTGCAATGGATAAATTTAATCCAAGAAATTAATGCTCCTATGGTATTTATTATGCCAAATCATTTATAGGTCTTAAAAAGATTAGATTGTCTTTGTAATGTGTATTTATTAGAATATTATACATACTTTGTGGCACCCTCCCCATAAAAGTGCCAAGCTGAGATCAGGAGTCCAGAAATTGGGAAAACAGATGGAGATCAGGAGTGCAGAGACTGGGAGTCCATGCTGTTTAACTAAGGGAAGATGTTGATAGATGTCATTCCCAATAAGTCTGAATAAACAAATGAATGCTATTTTTGAAGCAAAGGGCACAGAATGAAGAGGCAGGACTAGCAGTCTTTATTCAGCTAACACTGGGAGATTTAATTCACACCCCAGACTTCAATTTCCTCAGCTAAAGTGGATTTTAGATACTTCCCGTTGTCTACACCTATATTTCTAAAAATCTGAGTTGAGCAGACAGAAACAGTAGAGAACCAAAGAGGAGGGCACAGCAGGCAGAGCTACAGTGAGAAGGGCCCCTCACAGGGCAAAGCAAGACTGTTACAAATCTGCTACTCAGTCATTGATCAGGGTAATCCGTCCTGCTGTCAAACTTCTACTTTCTTCTTCTCTTTAAATCAAGTCTGATTTTGCTTTAGAAATGTAACACCTTGGTGAGCACGACAGGCCAATATTGTGAGAAGGCTATGGTTTGACTTTGATTCCAACTTGGAAGTGGTGCTACTTCTAGAAATGCGGAGGGGTTTTGTTTGTTTCTTATCATGAAAGTTTCCCTCCAGATTGCAGTTATAACCCTTTCAGTGCAGTAGGCAGATAACAATAAGCAATTACCATGCACTTGATTCTGAAGAATTTCCTTATGGGTGAATGAGTGGGTACCCTCGTCGGGAGTGAAAAGATAGCTGAAGGAGTCACAGATCCAGGAGTGCACGTATGCAGGTAACTAAGGGGCA